ATAACTATGCCTGATCTACAACACGGAACTGCTGCTTTTTCTTTCCTGATCCTTACTATTGTCATTTTCCTCTACTTCTTTTGTATGTGTCACTCTCTTGTGACCTGCTATTTTGGGGTGCCTTGATATAATGATAGTGGAAACAGACCTTGTGCTGTTGAAGCTAGAGAGGTGAGCAGTCTAAGTCTGATTCCCTGTAAAGACTTCTCTGTTGACACCCATCCCTTGGCGCTCATATGACCTTATGCAGTTGCGAGCGCCGTAAAACCCTCTACTATAAAAAAAAATATATAAAAAAGCATGTTGAATTTGTTTTACCAAAGTCATTTTTTCTTCTTATATTTCTATGTTTTGATTTGTTCAGAAATTGTGTCCAAGGATCAAGAAATGTACTCAGTAGCAGGGCTGAAAGAATCCTTCAAGCCGCTTTACATACTCCTAAGCCATAAATTCTAAAGTATCTTACATTTCAGAATTATTTTTTCAGTTAGTAGTGGCTTCTGTATGAGACAAATTATTTAATGTACCTGAGTGTTAAAGTATTGTTACGTCATGTTTTTAGCTATCTGCCACCTAATTATGCCATACTTTAAATCACGTGTGTACTTTTTTTTCCCCTGTTGTTTTTACCTTTTCACTTTTCACAACTCAATACACAACTGATGCGGTTATCCACAGAGGGTCAGTACCGTGACTCATGTGATCCGAACACGGCTGACCAGTGTGCACAAGGTCTTGAGTGCTCAGTTATGGACTCATTTTGTGAATGCCCCTTTTCTGATTACTATAATGGGAGTCGGTGTGTCCTGAGTGAGTTTGCGCAGCACAATAACCTGGTCCCTGTTTAGTCAGCTACTAACCGGCTCTGTACATTGAAGAGATTTTAAAAAAGAATTCTTGTATTTTAAAGAACCCATCGACTAACTGTTTAGATATTTACAGTAGAGTCTGCTTAAACTGAAACCTACAGGATTGCTGGATTTTCTTCGGTTTAGCCATATTTTCAGTTCTGTGAAGTTGCTTAATACAAGAAAAAATAAATAGGGGATTTATTTTCTTTCAGTAAAGTTATAGCTGTTTTTAAGTTGTTCAGTTTATGCAGACTTCATTGTTTCTGTAATGTATGCTTGTTTTAGGTTATATAACAACAGTTATTGTCTAATACAAATCGCGTAGTAATAAATCTAATACGTAATGTAGATGTTGATTCAATACCTTTACAACTCGATACACTTTGAAGAAGTTTTCTGTATTCTGTGGTACGTACATACATGCAAATCTAGATGTTAACAAAATGTGTCATATTGCTTGGTAACTGGAGGTCCAATCAGATTTGTAGTGTGGATATTTATGGATGTGCGTTCTCAAGATTTTTGCTCAAAATTTAACTTTGTTTTTGGTAATGGCAGCAAAAAAAGTGTGATGTTTCGTCCTGTTGCTGATTATTCTCATTCACTCACAAGTGCCAAATGTTCCAACCCTGAGTAACTGAAAAAACATTTAAAAAAGTAAGCACCTTACTAGATATCAAAATATATCAATGTCATTTTAGCTGTGGCTCCTGTGGGGAATTGTTAAGGTTTTGTCGTGGCAAAGCTTTTATCTTTGGCTAATAGATAGGTATAAAGGAGGTGCTCTATTGTAGAGAAAGTATAGAGAAAATTGTCACATCTACTTTAGACAGTCTGTGGTGTTGGGGTTTGGCATTTATTAGACACATGCAGGAGACCCGAGTGATTTCTTAGTGGGGAGAAATTTGTATAGAGTATCTTGATATCTCGCTCGGTCTTTCTGCTGGGATGTTCTATCCTTCCCAGCCCGGGTTTGCCCTGACAGGCAGGGTCAGATGTCTGCCTCCTAATTGATCTAACTTATGTTGATGGGGATTTCAGGTAAATAAGTGGCACCATTGGAGAGTGGGAGACGGTTGGGGAAAGCAGAGTTGCACGCCATGTTAACAGGACAGAGGACTTTTTTTTTGTCTTACGATCTATTCTTATGGGGGGTGGGGTGGGGGGAGGAGAGAAACTAAAGTACAAACGTTTGAAATACTTCAGTGAGAGATGTGCACATCCCTAGATATAGCCAAGTGCTCTAACTTTCCTCTGATTGGTTCTCTAATCCTCGTTGTTGTCATCTTTATTCTCCTCTTTGTAGAACTAATTATTATTTTGTTTATGTGTACCGACAACAGGAATGATAGTGTACAATAGTTTGTTTACTGACCGTAGCAGTAGTGGGGATGGCTTTTATTGTTTAATGTCTCTTTTTAAGTAATATTTATTCATGTGGTTGTTCATTTATCCTCTGTGTGTGTGTGTGTGTGTGTGTGTGTATGTTTGTGTATGTGTGTGTGTGTTTGTGTGTGTGTGTGTGTGTGTGTGTGTGTGTGTGTGTGTGCGTGCGTGCGCGTGCCATTTCATTGCCATCTTGTTTGAGCCTATGTCTACTTCTGAGCTGTCACCTTAATGCCTGCCCCCCCCCCCCCCCCCACACACACCTGCCCCCCTACCTATGTCTTCACCTTTCTATGTTGTAAATTGAAGCTTGTGATGTCTCCAAGTGATTTACCATTGGACTGTCATGTCAGACTCTTAAGTTACATTCCTGATCCTGAACATTGTCTCTTTTTGCTTTTTTTTTGTTCTTGTTTTGTTTTTGTTTTTTTCTCTTCTCCTGGGTCTCGCCCTCATGTATGTTATGAGAAAGGGTACAAGGGGACAGGTTTACTCAAATGTTCACACAGATTCTGACACACATTAGTTACTGACAATTGATGCTCTCTATTTGTTATTCTTTTCACACAAATCATCAACAAAATCTTTGTGCGTGGTTGGCGGGTGCTGTGGTGTGGTTTGCTCCTTCTTTTCTAGGCTAAAACAGCACCTGGACATGGATGGCTGGTGCCTCTATAAATAAATCATTGATGGTCTGGTCCTTCTTTCCTATCAAACATCTATCGTCTCTATCTCCCCTCCTTCTATTTTGTGTTTGTTATTCTCTTGTAGCACCTCTAATCTTCGGCACTTCTTATATGACCTTATTGTGTTGCAAGTGCCGTAAAACTCTTACCAAAATTAAAAACAAAATCTTTTCCATCTTTTCTCTTACGTCATCTTTTAGCAACACATTTTTTTTTGGTCTCTTGTCAACATGTTGTCTCTCGTTCCTCCTTTCCAGTCGTCACTTCCTCTTTCCTTGAAAGTTCTGATAGTCCAGAATCTGACGCACCCCTCTCTTCTTGAACTTCCTTGTGTGGCATTTCTTTTTTTTTTTCCACTGACATCTGTGCTGACGTTTGCCTGAATTCCTTTCTTCCAATCGTGCAGTGGGACATTACCCAAATGTCAATTGACTTATGATGCCTTCTACAGAAATCCAATTTAATGAGACTTGTACGGAGAATGCTGTATGCACTGAGAACCTTCAATGTGATGACCTCACTAGCAAGTGTTTATGCAATTCTTCACTGTACTATAATGACAGTCTGTGTGTGGAAAGTAAGTGTCATCTGTCTCCTTTCCAAGCCCCAGAGGAGAATTTCTTGCCTGGGGTGTTTGCTTGTTCCCCGATTACATTGTTACAGCGTCCACTTGCTTCACCCCGCGACCTAAATTGTGTCCATGGTGGTTCTATAAACAGCTACATTAAATTTTTTTAATCACCCGCATCTTCCCCATCTTTCCCATCCTCCCTGTTCAAAACATGAATGTTGATCCTCCCTCATTAACTTGACTTAACTTTCTCAGTTTATCTGATTTTGTTAACTGTCAGAAGTAGACCTTGAATATAGTACCCTTGTTTTAAGCTGATGAGTTATTCCACGGAAACTGTTGTTGTTGTTTGGCTGGAGTTATTTTACTAAAGAAGTGGACGGAGAAGAGGAATGAGACATTAATTTAGTGCTTTCTAAAACAGGAGAATGCAAGACGCGATGAAATTGTATAAATATGTGCGTGCCTGTGTGTCTGATTGTGTATGTGTGTGTGTGTGTGTGTGTGTGTGTGTGTGTGTGTGTGTGTGTGTTAATGTATGTGTGTGTGTACGTGTGTGTGTGTGTGTATGCGTGCATGCTATTGTAACTATGTTTAGCCGAGTCTATCTGATAATCTCACGGCAAAGGTCAGTTGTTGTCTCCCTTTGACCTTCCCTCTGTGATTTTGTTCTGTGGCTTTGCTTAGTTCCCTACTATAACTGGCTTTATCCACCTTTGTTTTATTTTTTGTACTGTCTTTTGTTTAATAAGTAATCAGTACTTGTTCCGTCTATTTAATGGGTGAATGGGTTGGGGGAGGGGAAAGGAGAAGGGGTTGCAAGATGGCGCTACTAGTAGGTCCTACTTCTGTACTGTTTCTGTTATTACCCGGTACTGTCTTTTTTCCTTTCCCCAAGATTAAATGATAAGTGTTGCATTCATGTGCTTCTCCTTGCTCAGACAAACAATCAAACATACAAACAAATCAGCCTTTTTTGCGTTCAAAATAGAAGGGAAGGGGATAATATATGGTAAATATCCTAATATCCCTCTGGGATAATAAATTATTATCTTATCTTATATTATCTTTAGGCCACCCTCAAACTTTCAGCAGAGAAACCTTGGATGGTGTAGATTACTGTAGAATTATCTACATATAGATTTATTCACTTTTGATCTCAATGCTCCGTCCAATGACCATAATAATGGTTTATATTTATTCCTTTGAACATTACGCTACCTCAGAATTACAAATTTCCATCTGACATTTTTGGCTGTTTTGAAACCAAATGTTCTGTCTGCTCTTTCAAAATAACCACATTATTCGGAGTCATCATCAAGATATTGGAAGAATTGCATTCGAAAAAGCTTGACATGTTGTGAAACTCAATATTTTTACGTCAAATTTCTCAAAACTAGGCACTGAGCAGATAGAACTTAGTAATTCTGGGCTAGCGATTATGAGAAGCACATTTGTATGTGTCCCTTTCATCTTTTACCAGCTATTGTGCACTTTTTCCCCCTCAATGCTTTAATGTCCAATTACAATAACTAATATTTCTTTGTACACATTGAGAAGCTAATATGATATCTATCTATCTATCCCTTACATCTTTTATCATTGTTATTTCTGTGAGTTTCATTGCTTTATTTTTTGTGACACCTTAATATAGTTACTGTAGTAATATTTAGAAAATAATGTGAACTATTTTTGTCCATATTGTTTACTATAGATAGTACAGTTCACCTTGCGTCTAACGAAGTCGTTGGCTGCTGCTTTGATTTTGCTTAGTCTGAAGTTTAGGTGTAAGCAAAGTCAAAACTAAGTCAAACAGTCATGATCATTTTGGATGTAGATATGTGTGTGTGTGCCTAAAGAAAGGTACCAAAAGTCGGATTTTGATCATTTGTGTTAAGGGTTGTACCTTGTTGGAAATTCAATGCTGAACACAGGTTTTTAAAAAAACTTTTTAGAGATCTCAAGTAGATTTTGAGATATTGCACATTTTGCGAGGTAGGGTATAAAAATATAATTTTGAGAAAATGAGCTTTTAAGTTTAACAAACGTGAGAACATATACAAACTAAACTAAAAAAAAAAGATATTTAAGCATATTTTTTCATGAAAAATTCATTTCCAATTTGGCATTCAGTTGACATCGATATCATGAATGGAATTCAATGGTAAAACATAGTAGGGAAGAGAAAACGTGCTTCAACAGTAGATTTTAACACCTTTTAAAAGCAGTTTTCATTATTTGCTTTTATTATACCTTTCCCTCAAAACAATTCAAAATAAAACATTTAGAAGTCAAATCAATGAATATCCTTTGAGTACATTGTAAACAAAATGTTGGATCTATCATTTTTTATGGAAACACATTTTGGTCAAAAAAGTGATTTTTGTGATTGTCAGCCTGTAGCTCGAAACAGTCTGGGGCGACTTTTGGTACCTTTTTCTGGGCTCATACACATATGAGGGTTGCCTGAAAAGCACGGAAGGTGAAAATGATCACAGAATAAATTATTAGAATTTATATGGAACTGAATAAATCATAAACAATAAGTAGTTACACCATTCGAAATTAGTGGATTTTTTTCACTTTGCATCTGAAAATCGTATGGCTTATTTTGTTTGAACTATCTTTGACTTTTGTCTGTATGAGGGTATCCTTGTTTGGTGTGACGTCACAGATACATGTTCTGTCATGTGACTGATACTTTGGCAACGAGTAGTGTGTATTTGTGCTTTGCCCTCTGCAATTTGTTTAGATTGTCAGAAGAGTTGTTACTTTTTTTGTTGTAAAATTTTTCTCTCTAATTTTCGGACAGGCTTTGTGTTACTTTTTGGCGTGAGCCCACCAACTTTGCAGAATTTTAAAAGAAAAATTTACCAAGTTTTTATAATTCTATTTCTATAATTTGTTAGTTTTGTAGAAAACATGTTTTGAAAAATTTTCATCATCATTCATCTTATTTTTTTGTTTTGTTCTGACTATAGGTAGGTACCACCTAGGCCAACTGCGTTAATCGTCAGCTGCCCTTTTTTAATCACAAGTAGTCTATATTATAGTATATGTGTGATAGATAGTCTCATGTTTGTTGAATGATGTCCCATTTTAGATTACAAGTGTATGTGTGATAGATAATGAACAGTCTCATGTTTGTTGTGTGATGTCCCATTTTTTTAGATTACACAAGAGTGTATGTGTTATAGATAATGAACTGTTTAGTGTGTTTCCTCCGAGGTAAAAGTATTCACAAAATAAGATTCACACCTTTTGTTCTTTTTGTATCATGCTGGACTATAATGTGAATATCTTCATTGTGCTTTCTTGGCCTTGGGATTGTTTTAACTGTTCTCATGGGTGTCTTAACACTTTGACATGTTTCTATAGCAGGTTAAGCTCAGATCAGAGCTCCGGACTCTTAAATAAAATTCTTACCTTTAAAGAGGCGTTGAACCCGTACTATATCAGAAAAATTAGAATGCGATGAAACCATTTAGAAAACTTCCAAGTACATGTCTATTCAAATGTTCCAGAAACTATTTGTCTGAACCCATACTATACCAAAAAAAGTAGAAAGTGATGAAACATGTAGAAAAATTCCAAGTCCATTTATCACTTTTTAAGGGAAGAATGCAGCGACACTGTTACTCTCTTGACAAGAAAATCTCTTTTTTTTGTGGGTGGTTGGCGGGTGCTCTGGTGTGGTTTGCTCCTTCTTTCCTCTTAAACATGTTATTACTTTTCAGAAGATGCTTCTAGAGGCAGACTTACTTTTTCAGACAATTTGCTGTTTCTGGGAATTTTATTTCCGACCTTATTGTGTTGCAAGTGCCGTAAAACTCTTTACTGAACTAGACTTACTTTTTCAGACAATTTGCATGGCATCTTGAGCAATATGCTTGGTCTCTTTTATGGCACTGTCTCACGGAGACAGACAGGCAGAAATGGTCTGATTCATCAATGTCATGCTCATAACTGTGCCTGAACTACATCAGGGAACTGCTGCTTTTTCTTTCCTAATCCTTACTGTCATCATTTTTCCTCTACTTCTTTGGTATGTTTGTCACTCTCTTGTGACTCGCTATTTCCGGGTTGCCTTGAGATTTGAAGCAGACCTTGTGCTGTTGAAGCTAGAGAGGTGAGCAGAGTAAGTCTGATTCCCTGTAAGGACTTCTCTTTTGACACCCACCCCTTGGCACTCATATGACGTTCTGCACTTGCGAGCGCAGTAAAACTTCTACTAAAACTAAAACTAAAGAGACAGGCAGAGTAAATAAATGTTTTGTTTGTGTGAAACAGAAGTGGAAAGACAAGGTGTTATTGAGAAATTTGTAGAACGAGTTTTGCCTTTCCAGCAGGCATTTGTGGCACTGTTGGTTTTTATTCAAACGTATATAACATGTATGTGTTCCAGGAATGTTTCCCGTCCTACCATACTTCCCCTCCTCCTTTTCCAATGTAAACCACATTATGTCAAATGTGGTATATTATGTTGTCTGTTATTTTTTCTTCATTCAGGGATTGGATATAATCAAGGGTGCACAACAGTTGACAGTTGTGCTGAAGATCTCAAGTGTATTGACTTTTTTTGCAAATGCCAGCACACACAATATTACAGTGGCAGCAACAAGTGTTTACCCAGTAAGTAGAGATGTGTAAGGGCTTGGTTTTCCCTTGAACTAAAAATAGATTTGTATAACGACGTGGTGGAATCAGGCCCTCGTCAATTTTTGGGCATGTAGAGTTATTGATATCATCTTCAAGCTTGTTCATTTGTCTTAAATACAAGTTGATATATTTGCGAATGAAGGAGGTGGGTGTCACCTGGTTTCAAGGTAAAATCAGTGAGAAAATGGCCGCCAAAGATTAGTTATTTCCTTAGCTTAAGTGTCTGTGGTAACCGAAAATTTCCTTTTTTTGTGTCTTTAATCAACGTTTTTCAGTAGAATCCACACAGAAATGTGTTTTTTAATGGACATGAAAGGTGTTGAGCCAAAAAACAAAAATTCAATGAAGATTCATCTGTTGAAAAATGCCAGTTTCTTCACTTTGATTATTTTACGAGAGCCTGATTCCACACCGCTGCCTCACATTTGTTTATGTCAGTGTCTGCTGTTTCAGTGTTTGATTTCTGTAAGAAAACATGTGGGGGGGGGGGGGGAGGGGGGGATTTTCCTTGTCATATTAACTTTTCTCTGTATCTGTTTGGTGTTTCGTATTTCTGTACAAGGTCTGGCTCTTGAATGTCTTTCAAACTCTGTAACTGTATGTCAATTATACTTTGCTTTCTGTACTTTGGTTGTTGAAACTTGAGTGAGCTCTTTGTCAGGTTTGTTGAAATGACTTCTCTCTCTCTCTGTGTGTGTGTGTGTGTGTGTGTGTGTGTGTGTGTGTGTGTGTGTGTGTGTGAGAGAGAGAGTGCATGCGTGTGTGCTTGCGTCTGCGCGCATGTGATTAGGAGGAGGAACAGGAGAAGAAGACCAAAATAAAGATGAAAGATCTTGTAATGGGGAGAGGTTATATACAGTAGAAACCTGATATAATAACAGTGATGGTGGGACCAGAGAAAAAGTCCTGTTATATCGGATCCCTGTTGAATCAGAAATGCAAGGAAAGTAAGTATTTGTGGACTAATCCAACTGTATTTATTCATGGGTAGTATCCCTTGCCCCTAGTACCCACGAACAGGGGTTTTGGCAGGCCTGCCCATGACACATTACGCGTGCGTGTAGCTTGGCTAAAGACTAAATGACCGAAGTCTCTCTCTCTCTCTCTCTCTCTCTCTCTCTCTCTCTCTCTCTCTCTCTCTCTCTCTCTCTCTCTCTCTCTCTCTCTCTCTCTCTCTCTGTGTGTGTGTGTAACGAAAACATGGAGGAAGAAGGAAAAGCGCACGAGAAGCTCTCTCAAAGTTCCAATAGGAGACTGAGTGACTTGTTCTAGTACATAATATGTTCTATATATAGTAGAGAAAGTAGTTGAACATACAGGAGCTCAGTTTCCCTAAAGAAGAAAACTGAGAGAAAAAGTGGGGAAAAAAAGAGTACACATGAGTCAAGCAGAGGACAAAGAATGTGTTTGGGTGGCGTCGGTGGTCTAGTAGCTAGGCTCTCAGACTCACAGCCGTGAGGTCGTGGGTTCGAATTCTGTCAAAGTCAGAGGCCTGATGCTTTGTCCTTGGGAAAGGCACCACACGAATGTTCCTTACTTCACCCAGGTGGGAATGGGTACCTGGTAGGGTTGGGTCGGGCTCGCAAAATTAGCGTCCGCGGGTAACGAACTACCCGCTGGCACTACCCGCAAACGAGCGGACGGGTAACGAACCGTCCGTTTGTGAAGAGTAGTTCGCTACTCGCTACACATCGGACAGAGACAACAGTTCGTTTAGCGAGCGAGCGGACGGGCGGACCGAGAGACTCCATGCATTTGAGCTGGCGGACGGACGGACGGGAACGACTCCTTCCATTGCCTACAACTTAAACCCCCCCCCCCCCCCCCAAAAAAAAAAAAAAAAATTAATTAAAAAATCACCCTCCTGCCTCACATTGTAGCTAGGCGTTCACGGCGGAAATTCCCCCCCCCCCCCCCGGCCTTTGCGATAATAGGAACGTACACAGTGTGCCCCACGCACGAGGTGAAACGTTACACACATGGTACTACGTCACCAGCCTCTCTCACTCCCTGTGGCACCGCTAGTGGTTTGAAACATCAAGCCTAATTAACAAACAATAGACGAGGGGTCTAATCTCGCGTCGAGTATCTTGTCTGCTAGAGTTCGTCCGTTCGCCCGCCCGCCCAGTGAATAAAATTTTGCAGCGGACCCAAAAAACGAACTGACTTGAGGCTTGAGGTCCGCAGTCCGCTCCCTGAGAGAGTCAAATTGTGGAGCGGACCCAAAAAACGAACTGTCTTGAGGTTCGCAGTTCGCTCTCATGGCCGTCCGTTACCCGTTCGCTCTGACTGAGTCCGCGAGTAACGAACCCGTCCGTCCGCTCGCCCCAACTCTAGTACCTGGCTATAGACAAGAAAAAAATGTACTCAGTTTGTTATTGTTTGAGCAGTTAATCAGCTGTTTGCACTGTGTTCTTCCCGGGAAGCTGAGAATGTTTCTTGGTATTCAAAGGTCTGCTGGATGTAATAATATTTTAATGTAAAACGCACAGAGGTTGCTGTCGATTGGGGATATGCATTATATAAATGCTATTTATTATTACTATAGCTATATATAAAACAGGGGGTGAGAAGATATCAAGGAAAGGAGTATTAATAAAGAAGGGGAAGAAAGGGCCCAGCTGTGCAAAACTTCTGGTCTTTTTACAGTTTGGGAAATGGGGAACTGGTATTCTATTTTTGGACTGATACTGATATACAAACGATGATTACAATTACGATGTATAGTATTTCCCCAAAAGAATGTGACTGGTTAGTCTATGTGACAAATTTACAGATTATGTCAAGTGTGTTTATTGTCCCTGTTTTGTTTCCCTTCAGAAAAGGGCTATGATGAACAGTGTACGTGGGGGTCTCCAGGGTCTGAGAACCAATGTGCTGGAAAGCTTACTTGTGATGTCAACTCCTGGTGCAAGTGTTCTAGTGGGCAGTACCATACTGGCAGCAATCAGTGTGCCCCAAGTAAGTGGGAGGGGGTGGGGGAGGTTTTCTCTGTGTTTGAAGTGTTGACCTTGTGTGGGTTTATTTTTCTGTCATTGTCTGGATGTACAAACTGTTGCTCAAAACTCATTTCATATGAACCCATTCACTTGTCTTTTTGTTAATTTCCTAATTGAAAGAACAAACAATTTTTGACTAGTAATGACAAGAAGTGTTGTGTCACAGGAGTCTCTCAGAGTATTCAGTTTCCTGACCTCATATGACCTTATGCAGTTGCAAGCGCCATAAAACCTTACTAAAACAAAACAAAACCCCAGCAAACAAGACATGTTCCTGCATTAATTTTACAGAAAAATGTTGATCAAAGGCACAAAAAATGAGTTTTCCTTTTTCAAGGACACTCCAGCTTTGGAAGTCACCAAAGCTTTGCAGCCATTTTCTCGCCAATCTTACCTCTGACACCAGGTGACCTCCACCTTCATCTATCGCAAATATCTCAGTTTGTATTCAAGATAGATGAGTGTATTTTTTCATCAAGAGAAATGCAAATGAACAGGCTCTAGCGTCATATGCCCAAAAATTGACGAATTTCTGATTTCGCGGCGACAGGACACAAAAAGTGAAACCTACAGGAGGTCAATTTCAACAAAAAGAAAAGATTTTAAAAAGTCCCTGTGAGATAAGTGGAGGACAGAATGGAGGTGTGAATAAAGCTGGTTTTAGCATTATGGTCCGTTTTCACTTTCTCTTCATTGTTTTGCATGACTTAACATAGATAGAGGAATGTGGAGGATGTAAGGGCTAGGTGGAACGAGGAGTGAGGAGATATTAAGTAAAACAGAGAGAGGATTGGGCAGAGCTGTGTACAACTGTTTTTCGTTTAATAGTTTGAAAAACGGGAAGGGGTATATATTGGGGTAGACATAAGATGAATTTAATAAATGTATTGTCCTCAAAAGAATGTGACTGGTTCATCTTTGTCACAGGTTTACAGATACCGATACATCAAGTGTGTTTATTGTCGCTGTTTTGTTCTCCTCCAGAAATCAGCTATAACGGAACGTGTCAATTAGGGCCTGAGAACCAATGTGCTGGACAGCTTACTTGTGATGCCAACTCCAGGTGCAAGTGTTCTAGTGGGCAGTACCACAGTGGCTTCGACCAGTGTACCCCAAGTAAGTAGGTTGGGGGGGGGGCTATCACAAAACCTTAGGTATGGGATTAATGGTGGAGGTTAAGGAGGATTAGGAGGAAAAGCAGAAGTAGAAGAAGAAGAAGTAAAGAAACTAGAAAGGGGAGGCATTATTTAAAGTGTGTGATTTGAAAAGGGATGGAGGAAGGGGAAAAGAATAAAAGGCTGACTCGAAATTTTAGTAGAAGACTGAGGGACTTGTTCTGATACAAATAGAAGAAAACTTAGCTAAATCTACAGGAGGTCAATTTCAACAGTTACAAAGAAGAAAACATAGCTAAATCTACAATAGGTCAATTTCAACAGATACAGTGAAGAAAACAGCTAAATCTACAATAGGTCAATTTCAACAGATACAGAGAAGAAAACAGCTAAATCTACAATAGGTCAATTTCAACAGATACAGAGAAGAAAACAGCTAAATCTACAATAGGTCAATTTCAACAGATACAGA